GCAGAAGTGGTGAGGAGAGAAAATTGGAAGAGGATATCAATATCTCAAGGGTATCTTGAGGTCGTGGGCCTATACGCTCAAGGTAACTCCCATCTCTTCCAGAGACGGTGATTACCCTTAGTGCCAAAGCCAGGAAAGTGACCTATTCGCTTCATCACCAACAAACTAATCACTACTCGAAGGAGGGAAGGGAGAATTTACAGCGCAGAAGTGGTGAGGAGAGAAAATTGGAAGAGGATTTTGATCTCAAGGATATCTTGAGGTCGTGGACCTATACACTCTAGAAAACTCCTCTCTCTTCCGGACACAGTGACTACCCTTAGTGCCAAAGGTCGTGGACCTATACACTCAAGGTAGCTCCCCTCTCTTCCGGAGATAGTGACTACCCTTAGTGCCAAAGCCAGGAAAGTGACCCATTCGCTTCATCACCAACAAACTAGTCATTACTCGAAGGACGGAAGGGAGAATTTATAGCGCAGAAGTGGTGAGGAGAAAAAATTGGAAGAGGATTCTGATCTCAAGGGTATCTTGAGGTCGTGGACCTATACGCTCAAGGTAACTCCCCTCACTTCAGGAGACAATGACTACCCTTAATGCCAAAGACATGAACGTGACCTATTTGCTTCATCACCAACAAATTAATCTCTACTCGAAGGAGGGACGGGAGAATTTATTGCGCAGAAGTGGTGAGGATAGAAAATTGGAAGAGGATTCTGATCTCAAGGGTATCTTGAGGCCGTGACTCCCGTCAAACTTAAAAAAGATGTGCCTCTCAAGGGCATTTTGAACTGTTGTCAAATGACGGGAATATTGCCAAGGCTGGCAGCCATCTCCATATTTGGGCGATGGTGATATGAAGATGCCCTTGGCAAGTAGACAGCTTCTTTCAGATACATGATATTGAGAGGCATCATCAGATGCGATGTCTGTTTAGCGCCTAAATTGTTTTATGAAAGGAATATCTTCCTGGAGAGGTTCACGTAGGGAATTGAACTACTTTTGCGTTTCTTGTAACAAAGAAATGACTCAAACAAAACTGCAATAAAACAAACCTGTTAAACAGCACATTTGATCAACCTGTCTGTAAATGGACGCTACCCGGGAAACATAATTCGAATCAAGTGTTTGAAACCATTAAAATCAATGTCTGAGCCTCATCAATGATCGTGTCGCTTCATATCAATCTAAATTAAGAAACTGTTAACAGTGGAGACGACTTGGGGGGGAGGGGGTAGCAGCCTTCCTCCACTTCTTGTGTAAACTGTTAAATTTTTTTTATTTTGACCTCCGAAAGCAAGGATTTATAAAAACAATATAGTCCGGGAACACTAGCTAATTTTGATATTAAATTTTTGAATTTTGCTGTCTACTCCTATACTCAGGGTATATTTAGGAGTCTATAAATTTTTTGCCCCTTCACTTTTGTCATGAAATCGCCTCCACTAACTATTAATAAGTTAAATCAATTAAATCTAAGCATTTATCTGTAAATGGAGTTCTGAGAATTTCATGCGTGCATCACTTTATACATAAAAAGTTAGAAAAATGGAAGAGTAGAAATAATATAATAATAGAATAGAATTTTTATGCTAATCTTAATGTTATTAACGAAAAAAGCGCTAATAGAATTCAGTTTTAGAGTACATCTGTATCCGGAAGTGGAGAGTAATAAGAATTTTCATTTAGTTTAAAAGATTGCAGGTTTATATTAAGCTAATTGAATTCAGAGTCATTTTTACTTTTCCTGCATTTTCAATATAGTATATATAGTATATATAATATAGGCCCAGTATGACACGATAATGCAAAATCGCGATAGAGCTCTCTGATTTTTCCATTTTCACAAATTCACTTATTTTCGTGTTATCTAATTCAAATTTAAAAATCTGTAGTATAATATATTTTTTACTTGTTTTTTGTAATAATGTGTATATTTTTGTTTGGTTTTTATATGTTGGTTGTGTGCACCAATCTCTGTTATTTCAATATTCTAGAATATGAATAATTAGGTTGGCAGGTTAAAGTTTTAGTGTGAAAATAAAAAAATATTTAATTCAAAAAATTTGTTTTCTTTAATCTCTCTATTTGTTTCACAACGCAATGTAATTTTATTTTAGCAATTTTTCCACTATGGGTTTTTTAACTTCTAGGTTGTCTAAAAAAAGGTAGGTAATTAATTAAGTGAAAAGTAATAATTGTATTTTTATTCGTATTCATTTTTTAGCACCAATCGATCGTTTCATAATTGTATATATAAATCAATCTTTAATAATGGTGCTGTAAATCAGGATTCTAGACTGATAAATTAAAATTCAAATATTTTAACATATATTAACCCATTTAACCATAGATGAATATCCATTTTGATCGAAGGAATTGTGTTTTATAGATAAGAATCAGTGACACGAGTACAAGTTATAATTTGACAGTCTTATGAATAAGTGTTAAAGCTATATTTTGAAAAGAATG